TTTAAGGTCGTTTAATTTTAATTTTGATTTTAATTTTGATAGCATAACTTTCGGCGTATTACAAAAAAAAAATTGGAGATAATAACTTCTGTTTAATAGGCTTGTTTATAAGACTTTTTTGAAAATAATTTTTAATTATCCAAAACATATGACGTTCAAAAACAAGTCTAAAATAGTGTCTGAAATAAATTAAGATGGTGGTTAAGTTCATACAATACTTTACAATATTTTCTTCATGGTTTATTTAGGCCGAAGATACATTTTGAATAATTTAAAACAAGTTTTTGCCAGTATTTCAAAACTAATCTTTATTACCATAACCATTTTTTAAAGCCTATTATAGCCAGTTTCAAGCTCCTAAGGCTTTTTTATTAGTAATCAAATCAACAAATTATGCCAACCACTGTCGAACCAATCCAGCAAGCTTCTCCTTAGAGGCCCGCATTTCTTCGGAATCTGTGGGCTTGATCGATGAGAAGTCGGCGCAATGCGATGCGTTGGCGATGATCGTGGCTCCCTGCTCCACTCCATGACCCATCGGGTTCCAGGGATCCAGGGCACCGTGGGTCATGTAGATATTCTCCACGCCGGGCTCCATGCCGCCGAAGTATGCGTTAGTATTGGCTGCATTGACGTTAATCTGTTCATTTCCGTATCTCGAACTGAAGACATCGCCGCAGAGATTGATGTACAGGGTGGCAGGGAACTTGGTGCCGAAGGGTTGATTACTGGAGCCAGAGCTCTGGTACCAGCCGTACTCATTGCAGGTCTGATAGTACCAAGGACGACCTGCAGATTTGGAACGTATTTAAGACCATTTTGATTGAGCATTTTTGATTTTTGAGTGGTCACTTACTAGCGTCGAAGTTTTCCACTCCCCAGAGATAGTACTCAACACTGCCTTGGTACCTGGCATCAATGCATCTGCCCATTCCCCAGCCCCAGTACACAAAGTTAGCAATGGCTGTGGCATCATCATCGAATGTCATAATGTAGTCACAGTTGTACACAATGTCGTTGTTGCTGAAATATAAGTTTTAGATTTGAAGCCATATTCTGGCAATACACAACCCACCTTTGGTATTGAGCGATTCCAGAGAAAATATTCGAGATACTAGAGAACAAGGTCCACAAGTCCAGGTCGTTTTGATCATCGAAACTGTCGCACAGACGCAGCATGGCCTTAGCTTCGGCTCCGCGCTTATTAGCGAACATGGATTCCAGCTCTGCGATGCCGTTCTTAATCCTATCGTAGCACTGCTGGCTGCCCAACTGGAGGAAGGCCTGGCCCACCACCTCCTTGTATTCGGTGAAGTCGACCTTGGCCAGAAGTGGAGCACTGGAGGCCCAGCCACCGACAATCAAATCGGGATACAGACGCTTAAACCACACCACCATGGTGGCCGAGTAGGAGCCACCGGCCAGAATCACCTTGGAGTTGGCCAGCTGGGGGTTCTCCGCCTTGAAGGTCTCAATGAAATTGGCCACATCGGCCAAGGCCTGCTTAACATTCAAGTACTTCAGATTATCTGTTGACATGGATCTAAAAAATTATGAATTACTAAGAGGCATCGGAATAATGGAGTAATTACTCACGATGTGGGTACACTTTGACCATAGTAGCGATGTTCAGTGTATACGAGAACACCCTTGTGTTCTTCGGCCATATCATACCAGTGACCAGCGCTGACCATGCTCTTCTCGATCTCCCATTCGCCACCCAGGTAAATGAAAATGGGACTTCCCTGAGTTTGAAACTCATCGTTGACCAAATAACGCTTGAAGTGGAAAATGGCACGTGTTTTAAGTCTTGATCTTATCTTCATTCTCGATTGTTTTATATATAGTGTATGCACATCGTTTTCGTAACTCAGGCGCATGTCACGAACTCATAGATATTTTTACTGCGCAACCAATTTTATCCGGAATATACATACCATCTGATAGGTTTGCGTGTTGCTCGCGTCAAAGTTATCCAATTTCTGGGTGATCCATTTCTCCAGGATATTGACGCGCTTAGTCATCACCTGGTGAGGTGGACCACGGTTCAAATTCTTCAAAGTCTTGACCAAAAGAGGCACATCTTTGATCTTCGGAATGTCCAGGGAGTGAACTAGTCCTATGGTCAAGACCACAAAAAGGCAGACCAAACGCAGAGCAGCCATTTTCACAAATGAAGCAACTATCGGGTCCGATTATGGGTTTTAAGCTAACAGTGTCGGCTTCCAAAGTTATTTGCGACCACGATAAGGATTGTAAATTAATTAGTTGATAAGTGACCAGCGACATGATATTATAGCTTCTAAAGTTGCGATTAGATGTACGTATTCGATGTTCATCATAAATCACTCAAAACTTTGTTGGATTAGCTGGAAATTCCAATATATTGTCGGTCAATCAAAATCACCGCCGTATAATCTTTGAGATTTGCCAAGCCGTTTTTAAAATATATATCAATGCTTTTAAAATTTTTTATTTTTTTTCGCCATTCGCTTACATATAGCCTCATTTAGTTGGAGCCCAATCCTACCTTTCTTAGATTTTAAAACAAAGATGCTTATCAGTTTGTTTATAAGTTGAATCCGCTACATTTTATTTGGGGTTTTTCATAAGCGGGGACCTTATCTACGATTACTTAACCCATTCGCGCACCAGTTCGGCAATACGTTCCTTGGAAGCTTTCATCTCAGCAGTGTCACTCGAGCTGATCGAATTGAAGTCCTTGCAATGGGCATACTCTGAAAAGTCACAATAAGGGTAAAAATATTCCGTTTTAGATATTGTACTCCCATTTGCTCACCTGGAAGAATAGTGGCCTGAGCCTCGTCCTGAATTCCCATCGCCCTCCAGGGATCCAATTGCCCATGGGTGAGGTAGACATTTTCCACACCGGGAGACAATCCACCAAAGTACTGGTTGGTGATGACCACTTGGTTGCTAATGAACTCGTTGCTATACTGTGAGCCATACAAATCGGCGCACATGGTGGTATAGTAAACTACAGGGAATTTGGTGCCAAATGGCTGAGCTGCAGAGTCAGAGGTCTGATACCAACCATATTCATTGCAGGTCTGGAAGATCCACTGACGCACTGAAATTATTCAGAAGAAGCTTTCAAATGTTTAGCTTTTAAGGCTTATCAATTCGCACTTACTGATGTTGTTACTGTAACTAGTATCCAGAAGCAATGTGGTAATTGCATCATAACTAAGGTCGTAGCATTGGGCATCGCTCTCCTCGAATACATCCAACAAATATCTAGCAACGCCATTGAGATCATTCGATCCAGCCATTATTACTTGGCAAACACCCTCAATTTGGCCAGCACTGAAAGTGGGATAAGAGTTTGTTAACTAACCCAACCATTTTCCACTATTGTACGAACTTGTGAGTCTGCACTACGCCCGCAAAAATATCGGAGATCTCGCTGAACAAAGTCCAAACATCCAGATCGTTGTATACATCGAAAGGTTCGCACAACTTGAGCAGGGCCTTGACCTCTGCACCTCGTTTGGTGGCTATCATGCTCTCCATCTCGGCAATGCCGTTTTCAATTCGCTTGTAGCAGGCAGATCCACCCATTTGTTCGATGGATTGGCCAGTGACTTCCTTGTACTCTGTTGAAAGTAGAGTTTATTTTGCATTCCACAAAATGACCGTGTAAACTGCCAACTCACCCACAAAGTTGACCTTGGCAAAGAGGGGAGCACTGGAAGCCCAACCGCCAGCCACCAGATCGGGATAGAGCTTCTTGAACCAGGTGACCATTGTGGCGGAGTAGGAACCTCCAACAATGATGACCTTGGACTCGGACAGACCTTCATGGTTTTGCTTGATGGTGTTAATGAAATAAGCCAGATCAGCCAGGGACTGATTTACACTCAGGTATTTGATGTTCTCATTCGATAGATCACTGTAAAGGTATGGAAAATAGTTTGCTAGAAGCACCGAAAAGTTTTCAGAACCACTTACGGCAAGGGCTTGCTTTGTCCATAGTAGCGGTGCTCTGTGTAGGCCAAAAGAGCACTGTGCTCCTTGGCCATGTCGTACAGGTGACCACCAGTTATTCTGCCCGCTGAGATCTCCCATTCTCCGCCAAGGTAAATAAAAAGTGGTGCTCCAGACTTGTAAAGTGCATCGTTGAGCATGTACCGCTGGAAAGATTGATACAAACATTGTACATGTACCCCTAAGAACTATTATCCCTCGAAATTTGCAATATACCATTTGCCATGTGCGGGTTTCTGCCGGGTCGAAGTGATCCAGCTTCTGTTCAATCCAAAGGGTTTGAACTGCATCCGCTCGATTCTGAGTGGTTGGGAGTGGTGGCTCTTCATGGATCCTTTTGAAAGTCCTCTCAAATATGCTTCCATGGGCTTGGCCAAGGGCTAAAAGAGCCAAGGAAATTCCTAGCCAAAGTTTCATCGTCGAGCATTAAAATAGGACTGATCAACATTTACCAGCTTATGGCCAACTAATTCCATTGCCTTAGCTGAAAGGAAATTCTTATCGCCAACGCAGTACTTAATTAGTGGTTTCTGAGCCAGTAAATGTTATTATTAACCGGGCCAAATGGATTGTTGGCATTTTGTGCTGCAAAGCCATGCGGCGTCTTATCGACTGTTCGCCTACGACGGTTCTGATTGTCAATCAGTGGTTCACTCACACAATTTAACGGTACTTGAAATGCGGGTAATAGAGTTAACCGATAAGGGTTATACAAGGTGTAGTACCATTACTAACTACATTCTGATTATACCCTTTAAAAAGAGTTGAATGCTGTTATTAGATACACCAATCTGTTTTTATAATATAAAACCAGAGAGTACGCTTTGGCTATCAGATACCCATTACTCAAAAATAATATGAAAATAATATTAAACATTTTACAATAAAGTGGGCAAAATTTTTGGGCGTGGCCAAAATGTTTTTGGCATACCGACAGAAATTGGCAAGCAAATAATAAAACGAAAAAATGTCAAAATATTTTTAAAGCGTATCATATTATAATTTATTGTGATCCTGTAATTTTTGCACTTCGAAATCGATGTCCATCATCAGGGTTTTTATGGATGGGTTGACACTCACCGCTGATGGCTGTAGATCCTCGCAGTGCAATGCCCCTTAAAGAATGAAAATGGGTTATTCATTTCTGAAATGGTACGTTTAGTTTAAACTTACCCCTTAAGATATAGGTCCGCTTGTGTTTTCTCACTTTGATAGCCGACCATGCATCAAATTCAGGCTGGGTTAGGAATATGCGCCGAACCTTTTCACTACTGTCCAAGTGCCTAAAAAAATGATCAGTGACTTTCACCTTTGTGGTTATAAAACAGTAGGAAAACTTGTGTCCAAAAACATCCGTACACATGTCTAGCCAGAAATCAAGTGGAATGTATTCAGAAGTTTGAAAGTTTCCAAGCTGACTGCAACTTTGATAAAACCAGAGGCGTGCTGAAAAAAAAAAACTCTTATCAAATATTTTAGGATGTTTTGGAATCTGCGTACATGAATCTGTGATTAATCGAACGTCCCGTAAATGCCTTAAACTGGAAATTGAGTCGTAGCATTTTGCAGAATTTCCATTAAGTTTTCTTCTGAGGTAAGATGTAAAAGAGGTTTCTGAAATCTCTTTGCAGGCACTTTGAATATTGGTTTTACTGTTTAAAAGACGTGATTGTTATTTTCTAATTTATTTTAGGTTTAATATTTACTTACTTTTCGTTCTGCACCAGGGAACCAATTACTTTTGTTAATCTTTCAAATAAATTAAAAACCTGAATTTTATTGTAGTGGTCAAATCCGCAAATATTCATTTTCACAAGCCTTAAAGTATTATGTTTTTTAATGGCAGCTCGAAGAGTTTCGAAACCATATATGATCATATCACTGCACTTTTTACCTCCAATATTTTGAACAATTTTAAAAACTTTTGTGTAGAACGATTTTAGTTCAATCTTAAACTGAAACGGGGCACTGGAAGCCCAGCCTAAGTCAATCAAGTTTGGATAAACTTTGGCAAACCAGGGAACCATTAAACCTGAATACGATCCTCCCACAAGAAATACCTTCGACTGACCAAAGAAAGTGGAGTTGGCTTTTAGGAATCGAATTAATTGTGCTACATCAGCCATTGCCTGAGGAACTGATAGGTATTTTAAGGACTTCAAGTGGAGATCTCTAGAATCGATAATTGATGCTATTTATTATTATGATTATTCGCATTTATTATAATGTTTTAAGACGCACCTTGTCGCTTTACTTTCTCCATAGTAACGATGTTCACTGTGCACCAAATAACCGCCATATTTTTTTGCCAAGTCATGAATGAAACTATTTGTCAACATTATGTTGGAAACATTTGTAGTGGGCGATAGAATTGATCCTTTGCCTCCCATAAAGAAAAATATTGTGCCATTTGGCTTGAAATAATCTTCCTTAACCATGTATCTCTAAGAAGTTTAATGTTGAGTTTTTAAAAATGTATTCAATATTTATCATACCATTGCAAATGTTCTGGAATTATTATTAAATTGATCCAATTTCTGCTCAATCCATCTAAGTTCAATATCCTTGCTGGGTTGAATTCCAACAATAAAAGTACTTAAATAAAACAAAATTAAATTGCGCTTGCACATTTCTGTCACTACTAATCTAGTTGTGAAGTCTTATTTTTGTTATTAAATTCTGTGATTCAAAGTGCAACTAATCAATTGTGCAAGGAAAATCGGTTGGTGATAAATATAGTTAGTAACTTTTGTTTACATACCCTTTAAAAAATGATTTCAAATGTATTTTCGTATATTAATCTAAGATTTCCCTAATGGCAGACTTCCCGCACTATATACTCAATTGATTATGTATTCCCTTTAATAGACAGACTCCTCAATGGGCCACTTCCTTCTTATATTTCCGAATAGAGCTCAACACGTGTTCCAAATAAAAAAGAAATCCCTGAAGCAGTTCGATTTTAATTAGACCCATCTCTCAGCCGGAAACTCCACTCCCCTAAGACAACCCTTGAGAATTACTGAACACTTGCACACCAAACACGTACCAAGTGCGGCTCAACAGGGGCATTGAAGGGTTAACACCGGTGCCGGCAGTTTTCCTAGTCCAGATAATAGACCGGAAAAGCGAAAAATTCGTGACACTACAAAGTGGTTCATAGACTAGTCGAATTCGAGGTAGAACCAATAAAATATGCAGGCTCGAACTCATCAAAAGAATGGCGAAAGGATGTGCGTGTGCAGCAACTATTTGCATACTAATTTGGAAGAGCTCTTTAAGAATAGCTTGTTCAGCCCAGTTACTTAAACAAATTCTGTAACTTTCACATTCTCTTCCTTGCAGGTCATCTTCTACGACTCGGACTGGAATCCCACTGTCGATCAGCAGGCCATGGATCGGGCTCATCGATTGGGCCAAACGAAACAGGTGACTGTCTACCGACTGATTTGCAAAGGAACCATCGAGGAGCGAATTCTGCAGAGGGCCCGGGAAAAAAGCGAGGTGAGTGATCGGGGATCGGGACAGGAAACCCTACCAAACCAAACCGCAAAACTCTTCAACTGCTCTGTTTTCCCTTTGTTGCATCGCATATTAGGCACGTGCTTTGTTGGGAATAAAAACCCTCCTAAAAACGAAGGCATTGTTGCGCCTTTGGGATTTTAAAAAAGTGCTCAATGCGAAACACGAGCACTTGTAAATGGGATTTAAATGGTTGGGGCTGGTAAACCAACACCGGAAATTAATTATACAATTGGGTAGGCGACATCTCGGTTACGCCTTCTGGGCCTTCTCCCTTTAAGATGGAGTACATCTACGTTTTCCTGCGCATGTATTGGCCAAATTACAATAGTCCCTTGATTACCATATGAAAGTATTTTGAGCCGACAAGTAAATATCTAGGAAGATAGGGTGCCCTTTGGCGCTATCCCCGCTCTTGTACGAGTCTCGTTTCATTTCCTGCCTTGAATGTCTAATTTAATTCAATCAAATATTGGTGTTTTCCTTCCCGAACTTCAGATACAACGCATGGTCATAAGTGGCGGCAATTTCAAACCCGACACACTCAAGCCCAAGGAAGTGGTTTCATTGCTATTGGATGACGAGGAAATCGAAATGAAATGTGAGTAGATTGACGATAAAAGTGTATTATTTGAAAGCAATTAATATTTATTTATTCCATTGACTCTAGATCGCCAGGAGGCCAAACTGCAGTCCTCTTCACCAATTCCACCAGCTGCCCAAAGCGAACGAAAAAGACGACATCCCCATAAGGTGAGATCGACAAGCCCCAAGAAAATCTTGTTAGATCGAAACGATCTGTCGGCAGTTTCATGCATGATCCAGGCTGACTGCCTAATGGCCGTTTATTAGACCAAGTTTGCACTTGCTACACGACAAGTTTCCTCTGCGCCTCCTAATGAAAGTAAATGATCTTTTGAGTGAGGTTCAAATTGCGAGTGCGTCTCCATATACAGAGAGCAAAAGCGAGGCAAAGCCGGCTCAGTTGTTCTTGGCCTATGGGTTGCATTGGTGGTCATGGTCACGTGATTCATGCAACATCACTGCACACACACACGCGCGAGCTGCAGGAACGGCAACAAAGACAATTCAATTTGCTACACAGCTAAACTCATCGTCTTGGCTGGTCTTGGTCTGCTTCATAGCGTGCTTTGAACCTACTCCATGGCCCATGAGCCACTAGCACTCCCAGCCGACTATATTCATTCATCCAAGTGCGGTACACATTAAGAAACAAATGCCTCACTAATGAAGTAATATTATAGTTCTATCCTAATGGTCTACAACCGTGCTTAATGAATACTATATAAAGGAAAGATCTTTTGTTTTCAAAACACCGTAACCCTTCTAAAAAATGTTCTTAATTCCTTTTTAAAATATATTGTAAGCAATGGGAATTTAGAATGCGTAAAACGTTAAATACTCATTTCAAAATTAACTCTGTTAATTAGTCTTTAAAGACTTGCGAAACTGCTCTTACTGTTTTAGAATGAAGTAGGCATTGTACATTTGATTTTCTAGAAATCAGTGTTTTCAAGCAAGGCTATATATCCAACTATTCAATATTCCCAGTGTAATCGTACTCCCTAGCAGATACTTCATACTTGCTCTCCAAAACAAACACTTTGCCTTTACCCTACTTGGAATCGCTTGGAAGCGCTGTCTCTCGGAGACGGAGACTCTTTTAGAAAACAGTTTCAAGTGCTTTTTGGTCCGCTTTGGTTTGGGATCGGATTGGTTCGGTTTGGGGTGCAGGCTACTACTACCAACCACCTCCAAACTCGGGCCCCGACTCTTCTTTGTGCTTTGTTTTTGTTGGTTTCGCTAAATGATTTTGTGCGTTCAATGGAACACTGAATATGGTCTGGTGCTGTAGCTGTAGCTGTTGCTTCCTCTGCCTTTGGGTCTGGGTCTGCGTCTTGGTGGCTTCTCTCCGTCTTTGGTTCTACGAGCACTGGTGCTGTGCCTCCTTTTAGTTAGTCGTACTCCACTCAAGTTCATATGCCACCAGTCGACACAATGTTATACTGGCACGCAGACATATTCCAGCCCCTCCGCCCTCGGATTGTCAATTCATTCACGGTCGGAAGTCAATGTTTCCAATGCGCGAATAGTACTTTTCATGTTTTGGGTTAAGTGCAGCCGTCTTCTTTCCTTTGGGCCTTTCGATTGGAGGAAGGCATTCAATTGGAACAGACTGCCCTGCAAGATTTGTGTCGCAGTTCTTTATTGTACGAACTGTTTATTTTCGTTACTGATATAATGATATATCATTTGAGCGAGTACTTTACGGGCGGTTTGGTTTTATTAGTGGAGAAATTCAAATTATCAAATTGAGAATTTCTCCATCGATTCGATTTTACTGGCATAATGGATTTGTATTTTATATATTAAGTAAGAAACGCGGATGACTTTTTGGATGCCATTAAATTGCCATGGTAATGGTAATAGGTGAACAAATCACCTTATTACATTTAACTATTATTACAATTTAACTATTCAATTATTTTCAGAACCGCTCTATAAGTGACTTCTACCACAAGTTTTCCCCATTTCGCCTTAGACTTTAACAATGAATATGATTAATTTTTAAAGCCATTTACCAAGCAGCTGAGTGCATGTAGGAAAATTGCTACTGTTTTCCCAGCAATTGACTATCAAAATCTGGGCGAAATGTATGCAAAACTCTTTACCCTACTTCCGAACAATTTCCTCAAGCATGGCAATTACCAGAGGCCCACCTCGACTCCCGAATACGTCCCATTTTTAACACTATCCCTCCGCTTGACCAGTCCATAACGCCAGTCGTAGTTTTGTTCAAGTTTAGCATGAATAAGTTTAATGCCATACACCGGGAGGGGAAAACTTGGCATAAATTATAAATGGCTTGAAGGGGAGCGTTCTTGGGCCAGTTAGAAGATACGAACGATAAGCAACAGTTGTAAAAATACCAGCAGATATATCTCATTTCCGTTGTCCATTAAAATGCTAATTGATTTGATTGTTACATTCGGGAATTAAGGTATAACTCTTTTATGATATTGCTTTTATTGTCTTAGGATGTAAATATGGGTGGCACCACCATCGCGGCCACAGCGGTCACCCAAAACCCCGACGACGAGATGCCCAGTTGCAGCTCGGCGCCAAAGCGCCTGAAGCTGGAAGCGGAGGAGGACTTCATCGACGTGGGCATTACGTCATCAGCCTCGAGTGTCGGCACGGACAGCAATCATCCCACTCTCAGCCAGGAAACATATGTGCCAGGAGCAACCTGTGTCCAGCAGATGGAAAACGACTCCGAAAACGAGGCTCTGGTGGTGGATGGAGACAGCCCCACGTTGTTGGGTCCAAACGAGTCCATGAGTAAGTACCAAATTAATTTGATTACACCCCCTTTGTTATATCCCATATAATTATATTGGATTGTTAAAACTATGTTTTAAATACTGTGCATTGCCTTAATTTTCCAACAACTCTAGCGATAAGTTTTTGGGAATTTACGACTTGACTTACCCATAAAACATACCATGTCCGCGATTATGTGGGTAGCATAATATCTCACACGACTTTAGCTCGATTCAAATGATTTGCGACATGTGGCTAGTTTTCCTCCAGAGCGATCACAGTTTTGTTGATTAATAAGCGAAATTATTTGGTAATCGCATGCCTCATGGAGGCAGGCGAAAATGTGGTCTACAAGTCAACTTGCCGCAAACTGAGAGCATGTCGGTTGTTATGAGTTGCCAATTGCATGTGGGATGTGCAACGATTGCAGCTTGTTAGCTCATGCGATTTGCATTCGCAAACGGTGGAAGGAGCGGGCCGAGGGGGTGAGCCAGGCTTGCTGGCAAAGCAGAAACATTTCAAATTTGTTTAACAATTAACCAATCGAAAGTACAAGACGTTGAAAAGTAGGCAACGAGCAAAAAGCAAATAGCAGCCGTAACAGCAAAAAACTGATGTGAAATCGCGACAAGTGCAGCGTCAGCAGATCGAAGTTGCATGTTGCTGGTTGCACGTTGCCGGAGGAGGAGACCAGCAGGAACAGCTCCGATGGCATCTGCGACTTGACCAGTTTGTTGCCCGTTTGGTTGGCCAAACTGTGGCACACTCACTGATTGGCCTGCAAATTCACAACTCACAATTCACTGGCGAACGCAGCTAATTTTGCCTATGTCCCCGTTTCATCTTGTTACCGCAAACGCGCGTCTGTCGCTTGATAACGTTTTCATTTGGACCTGATGTGGCTGTTTTGTTGTGGATACTACCAGTTCGACTCCTGTCCAGTTCCCCTTCTTGGGAGACAGTGATGCCCGCTTTGCAATGGAGAGTGTGGGAATAGAAAAGGACTACCCGTACTTGGGAAGTCATGCAGTATACAATATTCTCTTTAAATCATTGATTGTTGAATCATTTTTAATGCCCTAAAATCGTTTCTGATTATAGCAGGAAAATACAAAATACATTAAGTAAAAGATGAAGTTAAATCAAAATCGTTAAAAACTAATCTTAAGTGTATAGCTCTTTAGAAAACTGATCGATGCCACCAGATATTACGCCTTTTTCCGAAAAACTCCATTTTGGCATTACTTCGTTAGGATTTCCCAGACGAACGCAATCCAGTTTACTTTCGACGAGTTGATTATGTTTGGTTCGCTTGTCACTTGGCGTTCGGTTTTGGTTTTGGTTTTGCCTTCGCTTTTTGCTTAGCATTAAAATGCCGCAAAAACCAATGAAAGCCGAAGAAAGACGGCGAGGCAGAAAAACTTACTGAAATGCGGCTCATAAATAATTTTTATGTGCACAGGGCTTGGCCGAAAGACACAGCTAATTTAATCAATGAGCTCACGTGTTGTGGCTATATAAATTGCCAATCTGAGCGGGTTGCTCTCCTTGTTTTGATTTCGTAATGCAAACCGACATTTATGTGCTGTTTACTACTGTGCCGAGCCAAATGAGAAATTGTCATGAATGCAGAGTTACACATTCTACTGTTGTAATTCTTCGAAATCAAATACTTCTCGTGAGCTAGGCGTAACTAAATTATTTGCCTGATGTTTCGCATTCAGCTGCATTCCATGGCCAGACCCGAAGTACACTGAGATAAATACGCACGTATCTTATTTCCCTGTATATAAAGGTAAAGCTATGTATGTTTTCTTGTTGTGTAAACCATAAGTGGATCTGGGGAGAGCTAATGTTATACAGCAGGACTTTGCTGCAATTGACCACATTTTTCTGTAGCCATCATTTAAATTTCCCAGTGCGTAAACCACTTTTTCCCACTTAATTGTCTTGTGTAACACGCAGTGAAAAAATTTCTTAATTGGTGCCATTCAATTGGGACACGTGCCAAATGTGCAACTTTCACATGAGCCAAACATAATGCAGCATAGGCGAAACTAAGGCGAAACACTAAGCGATGCCATTACTCCACCCGAATTAAATATTCATTAGCCCAACCCCGCGTAGATCATAAGATCCCTGTCCACTTTGTCAGCGGAGCTTGTGAGACATGAAAATAATTAAGCCAAAACACTTGTTCAACATACGAATACCCGTATATAAATCGAAGCTCTCGGGGAACAGCGGCAAAAAAGTATCTCATAGAATACAAGTTAGCCATGAGACACAATTACGCTGCGAATCTTAGCAGCAAATCAAAACCGCGAACAAAAACTTTGATTGGCCACAAAAATTCACACAGCCACTGGTAATTACAAAAAAATAAAATAATGCATTCTCGAATGCCAATCATCCGTGGGCACACGAAAAATGTGCGTTTCGCTGAGCATTCTGAAGAACGCAACCATCAATTGCATAGGCTCGGTTTGCTAATGGTTCCATTTCAGCCCAACTTCAGCCAACTGGCCTAAAGCCCGCACTTTGCCGCATAAATTTACACCTTATTGGCCCCCATAGCGCCTATAGCCAGTACGTGCTGCGGATTTGTGGTAACCCTGTGGTAACTAGCCGAGTACCAGGCTCAACATTTGATGTGGCCAATTGCAGTTGGCCACTTGTCAGCCGGCCGGCTCGAAGCTCTAAAACTAAAGTGGTTTTGACTCAAATTGGTTAATCATATTTGCAATGTGAAAACGAATCCGCTTAAGAATTTGGCTTTAAGTCTGGCGGTTTTGCATTGCTTGGATTTAAATGCGTGAATTTTTAATTGGGCATCGAGTGGAAAAAGGAATAGTTGTGAATTACAAATTATGCGCTGATTGGTTGACTAAAGCTGGTTTCAAGTATGAAGCATATTTCACAAAAAGTGGACTTGACATTAAAGCTATGCAAAAAGATTTAAGTAGATGTTGCTGCTTAACTTTCAATGTACTGATAATGTTGACAATGAAGACTATAATAAACGGAATTTCGTGAAATTTGTTTAGTTCCCTAGTTTAACAATTTAATGACAGGAGCCGCTGAAGAGAAAAAGTAAAACTAAGTGCCCTCCAACTACAGTTCGTGTCCATAACGCACCCCTAATGAGCCCGAAAAAGAACATACTTTATGCCCTTTTAGTCATTCCTTCTGGGGTGTTGCCCAGTCAGTACATGCATTTTTTAGAAGAGGGCTCCACCAGGAAGAGGAAAAGCAGGACCATCTGCCATCGGGGTTTTGGCCATTAGCTAAATGTGGCGTAAAATTGCTGGCGTTTCCGTTAGTTCGCCTCGCATCTGTGGTGTCAATTTCACACATGTTATGAGCACTTTGCGGTCGCCAGATTGATGACTCTTTCGAAACGAAACGAAACGGAACCCCAGAGTCCTTGTCCTTGTTATGGCTAATCCCCCGAAAAGTTCCGGCCCGGAAGTGCCCCGAGAAATGCCCACCGAGCGGGCTTTAATTTAAAATTCAAGTGGCAAAGCCAGACAAAAATCTCTGTGCGGCGACAACAAATCATGACAATGGCAATGAACAGCAGCGTGCAAACACAATGACGACTACGACTGCACCTCATCAAATGCAACACGCTGGCGAAGATGATGATGAAGATGGGCGACACGGCGAGCAGAGACCACCGCTTGAAACCAACCCGGCCAGAAGGCAGACGCAGCGTTAGAAAGGCCAGAACGGGTATTGCAGGCATTGGACAAAAAGTGCGATCGATTGCAATGCGCACCGAATTTCAATTGGCTGCAGGAGCGTACCCCATCGATCTTGGACTCCAAGTGGGGAATACAGTTGCCACTGCAGTTAGCAGCTTGCAGCCTGCAGCCTGCAGTTGGCCATCACCAGCTGGCCACGCAAGGAATTGGGTTATGACCTCGAATGCGTGTCGCCACGGGCAAAGCCACAAGGCATCTGCCTGGACCCACTGGCTTTCATCGAACCATGGGCTCGTGATTGAGCCGTTTGGTTTCCAGTGCGCGGCAGTAAAAAGCTGAAAGTATCTTCAACATTTTTCAGGTATTGTGCCGAGCCCGGAATCGAAGAAAATGCCTGAACAATTCTGCCACTGGCATCTACAATTCTATTGTCTTCCGTGTCACAGGAAAAATGCTTACGATCCGTTTACCAGACATGCCAAAATGATCATAGTACTACGAAAATGCTTTGAATTTAGTTTTTAGTAGTCCTAGACTTTATACTCGGCAATAAAAATGTAAAAAATCCTAAAATTTAGTTAACCACCCAGAAATTAAAAGTACTGGATAAGATGTAATGCCAAGATGGTACTAGAAACCTGTAAAAAAAAACAAAAGGCACCTAATTAAAATTACAAAAAAAAAAGGAAAACATTTTAGACACACTTTTTAGGCCTACGACAAAAATTGTAAAATAAAATCAAGAAATGACGGCCCCACAAAAACTCCGAGCTTCGACGATGGAGTGGTGCAACCGAAACTCGAGACCCAAGCCTTCGATTCCCACTCCCGCCGTGCGCCCGGAAGCTACTAGATGGCAAAAGCCAGGACCCATGGGCCGGAATGAGTGGGCCAACTTCCACAAGACCTACCAAGCAGATGCAATGGCCCACAACCTCAGATTGCAGGGTGGAAAGCAGAAGGAAGATAGGTAAAACAACCTAAAATGATGGTACAAGTGTTCCATAGAGATGGTAGTTTCCCATTACTCGATCTTCCCTAGCAAACAAATTGTTGACAAGCCTTCTTTGGCAGAAGTTACTTGTCTAAGGGAAAACCGAAATCGTCTGAGTGCACCACGCTGGCAGCGCCAAAAGTACATTCCACCGCCACCGGAGCAGTTTCCCTATCGACCACAAATCATCGGCCAAAGTGTTCCACGTCCGGAACATGGTAGACCCGTAGAAAGGCCAGCGGTTCCGTGCTGCTTCCAGCATGTGGAGCTCGAGAACGATTTTTGGGCTAGCCTGCGCTTTCCTGTATCGCGGAAAGCACTCACAGCACGTCCCAGCAAGAAGATCTATGAACTGTCCAGGCCACGCCAATTTCCACTGGCATGCCACTGCTCGATGTACAGCAATTACGAGGATCAGGTGCCCAGACGTCGGAAAATGTCCCCGCGGCAGTGGCGGCTCCATCTGCAGCGACTCGAGTTCCTTTCGAAACCCAATCCTCGGGTTCTGGCCGATCTTATGTGCTGCTGTCCCTAAAGTGCACCAAAAAGATTACTCCTTAGGAACAGATCACCTACTAAATAAATTGGTGGGCTGAGCTGTAGTTAAGAATTAATCGGATTGATACCACTGGAAATGGTTTCATTCAAAGTCCAAATAAAGTAAATATATACTTTAGCTCAAGCTTAAGAGGATGCTACTCTTCAAAGCCATATACATAAAGAGTAGGCGTCCCTAATCACTCGGAGGTGTTATCCTTCGAAAGTCAGTCAGTAACCAGACAGTCGTAAGATAATACCTTCAAAATTTAAAAAGAGCAACCATTAAAAAGTTAAAAAAAATTAAAATGAACAATGAAGCTTACGGAACCCACTTGGGCAAAATTAAGAGTTCAGAACCGTCGATAGCCCCCATAGACTCCGGCCATAATTTTGATGAGCACGAAACATTGCTCCTGAAACCCAAGATTCAAGAGCCGCCGCCCTCTTGGTTGGCATGGTGCGATCGAAACTCAAAGCCTGTGAAACGGGCACGGCCTCGTGAGATCCGAAAGCTGACCCCGTGGCAGAAAAGCGGTCCGATGACCATTAGGGATTGGAAGCACTTTGGAGCCTGGGCTGCTTTCCGGGCCAGGCCCAAGAACCCAAAGCTGCAGAGACCTGCAAAGCCCTTCTGTGCGGCCAAATACTTGCCTTGCGCCCTAAAAAAGCGCCAGCTGGAGGAGGATGAGTTGCGGGAAAGGATGTTGCTGCTGGCCAAACCCCGAAAGATCACCGAGAAGTACAATACGCCGGACCGACCGCCGGCGTACTCCCCGGCGATCTTTTGGGGCAGGCCACCGCATCGCGATCCCGGTCGACCCTTCCAGCCTCCCCACGTTCCCGACTGCTTTCCCACCGACGAACTGGAGGCGGATTTCTGGGCCCAGCTCCGGTTTCCTGTCCGGCCGGCAGCCCTCTTGGGAAAGATTACGCCTCGCATCCAGTCCCTGGCCAAACCACGGGTATATCCACCTACTCCGCACTGCCCCGTTCCTGAAAAGGTGTTGCATCCGCTGGACGTTCCGCCTCCGCCACGAAGGAAGTTCACAAACAGGGGCTGGCGGATGCACCAGATCCGACTGCTATACCTCTCCAAGCCGGTTTTTAGAAGTGATATGAGGTTCTTCTATTGTAACGTCTAACATCTGCTCTTTATATTTGCCCAACACAAAATGTATCTATTAAAGTTTTTGACCCTTATGTTATTATTGAAGTGTGCTTCTTAAACTATAGAATCCGGTATACTCATTCCACTGGCTCTTTTCATACAGCTCTTTATTTTATTTTCATGGTCAGATAAGTAGGCGTCCATCTAGTCGTCTGTATAATTTTACATCTCAACCGGCTGAGAACTTTACTTTTTCTTTTAAAAAACCATCGCCATAGGAACTAAAAATTTGATTTGTTGCATTAGGTACAGTTTGAACCTTGCTAAATTTTAAGTGATTTTAAATCGACAATCGGGTCACCATGAGTGTAATACAAGAAGAGACCAAGGCCAGTGTCATCAGCGTGGTGAAGCCGCCACCGAGTTGGGTGGAATGGTGCGAGCGGAATGCCAAGCCGATCCAACGTCGTCTGCACCAGGAGCGGCGCTACCTAACCAGATGGCAGATACCAGGACCTATGAAGAAGGCGCAGTGGAGGGAGTTCTACGAGTGGGCAGCGTCCAGATCCATGCCAAAGGAACTGCCGAAGCCGGTCCAGCAGCCCATACCTTGTCCTGCCAAGTTCCTGCCTTGCGCCAGAAAGCCACGCGCCATCGATCCGGACGAGTTTCAGGAGAAGGTGGCCAAGTTGGCCACGCCGCTGGAACGCAAAATGACGCCGAAGCACCAGTACATCTATCCGGTGCATCCGTACTCCCCGATAATTGTCTGGGGTCAGCCGCCACTCCATGACAAGGGACGACCCTTTAAGCCCCCACCGAAACCCTGCTGCTTCTTTAATGCCGACATCGAGGACAAGTGGTGGGCCGAGCTCCGCTTTCCCATCCGCAAGGCTGCTCTGAAGGCCACGATAACTCCGCGCATCCTTAGCCTGTCGAAGCCGAAGATCACGCCTCAGTTCCCGCCGCATTGCTACCATCCGGATCACATCTACGATGTGCTGAATGTCAAGCCGCCGCGGAGGAAGAAGTTCACTCCCCAGGGATGGCGTCTTCACCAAATCAGATTGCTATATCTATCGAAGCCCGTGTCCCGGCCCGAATACGAGTATTTTTATATGTAATCGAGTCATATGGCGTCCGTTCCGTATCATTGTTTTTGACCTTCAATATATGCTTGATGTTCAACGATCCATGTAAACGATATGTTCCAAATTGAATGTTGTGTAAATATGATTATATTATGAATTGATATTAATTTACTATTTTATCCTTTGAGATATGACTACTTTACTGATTATGCTTCAACCTCGAACTGAAATCTCACCCAATAGCTAGCTGCAGCTGGGTTCTTGGACTTTTGCAAATCCGTAAAAAAATTAGCAATTTCACGCAGATAAGAATCGCCATTTATATGACTTTTAATGGCCCACAGTAGCCGGCAATACCAACAACGACAACGGCGAAATGTAATCTAAGCCTGCGAATCTGGGCAGGACGAGGTGAGCCGGGTGCCCGGGTGCCCGGGAAAAAGTGCCAAGGAGCCAAAGATCCAGAGAGCCACTTAGTCATGGCCGGCGCATTACAGTCAAAGGTGAGGCCTTTCGAGCCGAGATTCCCTTCTTTCACTTCGCTTATCAGGCGTAGCAAACATGCGTCACATTGGCACCGCTTTGGCCCAAGGAGCTAGGATCAAGGTTCACAAATGGTCATCAGTCAAATCAATTAGATAATTGAATGAATGATTTGTGAAATCCGATTATGCTCGGCGGATTCTCGTTCCCCGTCTGCTGAGCTTCATTCTCTGCTGCTTTTTTCTTTTTTTGCTACTTCCCGTCTCTTTTTTGTCATATTTGCTTGCTGCAACTCCATTGTTGTTATTTCTTGGGGCCTTTCGTGTCGATTGGCAATATGGAGAGGGCCCAGACGATGTAAATATCACCAACGAGCAGCAGCAAACCAAACAAAAGCGAACATATTTATAGTATCATAAAAGCAACTTCAGCGAAGCGAATACTTACTATCGATGATATAGGCTGAAGTTTGCTGGGCAGAAGGAAGTGGATTTTAGGAACAATATTTAGTATTAATGTTGTTTATAAATCAAAATTATTTGTGTATCAAAATAGAGTTACTACAAAAGATTTAATGATTGCAAAAATAATATTTTTAGCACTTACTTTCCCACTCCCCTTTGGTTTCCATTACAACCCATATTTTATCCCCGATTCAACTGGCTAATCATCAGGCTAGCCCGAGCTAGACCTAATCCATCACGCTCAACATTTCCACTTTGCCAGGTATTTTCCAGCGCTTTTCCTTGCCTCCGGTTGACAGCTGAATTATGCTGAAGAGCGAAACTTTGGTGTTTTTTGATGTTTTGCTGCAATGCCACGACGTTTGACCGAAATACATGCCAAAAGCAGCAGCAAGCCGAGAACGAACTGCCAAAAAAAGGAAATAGTCGAGGAAAACCTCTTCTGGGCTGTGTGAATTGCCTTGGATTGGATTTTATTGATAAAACTTATTGCTTAAATCCAAAGTTCAGTTCAATAATAATGCACTGCCGCTCGAGTTGGTCTCGTTCTCGTTCTCGTTGTAACAGTAAAAGTAAACCCTATCACCAAAGCGGGCGCACTGCTTTTGGCCCTCTCTCTTGCGGCTTAAGCCATTTGAAGAGCTGGGGACATGGCCACAATCTTGCAGACAATTCCTCTGGCGACCGCCGAAAGCGATGATCACTGCACCGACTAGACAGTAATGTCTATCACGGAGTGATGATCATCGCATCGGGTATGATGATGCTGCCGGCACTCGTGTGCGTTGCATACCGAAATGGCAGAACGCCAGGCATTGTCGCCAAACACCAGACAAGATACACTCGTACTGGGGAAATAGAACCAGTGGAACAACAACATTGTTGTCTGCCCGCTGATCACTGGTTTTTGAGCCTGTCTTGTCGTCGTTGTTTGTTTGTTGTCTCTGTTTTATTTATGCAACTTACAGTTAGCCGTCTAAGTCGCTGACATATAACCAGCGAAATATTTAAGTTTAACCCTAGAGATATCGTTTTAAGCTGAATATGTTGGAAAGAATGAGCATAACACCATATCCTATTGATGTTGGCAGTCATAAATTCCTTAGTAACTTTCAATTTAATAGTTTTAATTAACATTTCTCTGGGCTTGATCGAATCTGGGGTTCTCTGTCACGTGCACCGGCGGGTTAAGAATTATAATATGGAAATATGGCACTCGGCATACTTTTCGTTGGCATTTCGGTGGAGTCTTGGCCACGATAAAAGTTGAACTTGTTTGCTGCCATTCCGCCATTGTCTTCGGGGCATAAAAAGTAACACGTTGAATGCGCAAATATGGTCATGGCACAAATATCGATAGTAAGGTGCTGGCAAGGAGTTATGGCCAGGAAACCTAAGAAGGTATCCCCGTCAGGCAGCCGTCAGCGAAGCCCAGGCCATCCCCATTAATTAGGCATTTAGGTTGCGAGCCATAAAATTGTGGTAAATGTAACGAAACTCCCAGTTTAATGTTTGTTTTTCGTTACATATTGGGCCAGCTGCTTGTGGATTTCGTCCGACCGCAATTAATCAATACCGACTCACCTATAAATTTCCGCTCTCCTTGCAGACTTCCTCGGCGACCTCAGTGGCATTTCGCCGATGCGGCGCCGCCACCACCCGCGCGGCACAAGACGCGGACGTCCCAGGGGCAGCACGCGGCGCGGCGGCGGACACGGCTCGATCCCGCGCGTGCTAACGCCGACGCAAGCGGCACCGCCAGCGGTACCTTCAGCGGCGGGAACAGGAGCGGCAGCGGCAGCGGGAGCGGCTTCACCCCTGCAGCAGCAGGAAGTAAGCGGCGGTGGCGACACTGGCGGCGTCCCGCTCAACGAAGAAGGTAGGTGCACTTGCAGAAAATACGTGCTTTCAGCCAAACTTTACTAGCTTATAATGTGAAAAACAAAGAGTGTGTTATAAGTGAAAAGTTGTAATAGTTTCGGCAATCTGAAGCGTATATAGTTGCAGTATTTATATGTTAAAAAACTGCTACTTCGGCAGCTTAGTAGTTAACGCATTCCATACAGTAGTTACCAAATAGCTAGTATAGGTTAAGCCTGGAAAAGAAGCAGTCAACTTAGTTGCGAAGCACTTTTCTCAGTGCAGGTAACTTTCCCTTCGTATCGCAACTCAACTCAACGCAAGGATTTACCCCCCAGTTGAGTAGAGTGTCACTTGTCGCTAATCGCTTGTCATAATCACGTTTATCGCTGCCTTTTCCGGAACAAGTATTTTCGGGTACTCAGGCCCCTCCCCCTGTGGTGGTATTATCTCCATAGGGCTTTGTGGTTGATCTACCGGTCCCCTTTCGATTTATTCGTTTTTTCGGATATGTCTCGATTACAGCCCGCAGAAATAATGCATCCACTTTGTGGTACGTGACAATTTCAACGCAGTGGCAGGCGTTGTTGCATTACATAACATTCAGCACTGCCCCTTACGGCAAATACTTAAATCCAGATAAAACATTCTTGAAAGTTCGCCCCTTCGTTGGGCTGCAAGTCAAGCCAAATATTTGTGCAGAGATTCACATCTGGCTGCATTATCTTTTGCTGCGCTTACTTGCTCGCTTTTCAAGTTAACTGCGGAAAAGACAACTTATTTGGCATTAATTCCCTACCCATTTATTAGAACACGTTGCGGTTCTCACAGATTGTTACCAATCAGCAAAGTAATGCGCATCTGCGAAATGGTAAATTTCCCGAATTTATAGTCAAACAAATTCGCTTTAAAAGCAGATAAATCCTGCAGCAATGTGGCAATTTTCAGTTGGATTTCAGATTTCAGGCGCACGACAAATGATAATTGTTTAAATCCGCTTAAAGTCCCAGACACCAGGCAAGGGGAGCGCGGCACACGTGACAGGAACACGTTCCGTAGCTGTTGGCCCAAAATGGAGACATAATCGCAATGGCAAATACGCAACGTTGCATAAATTAAAGTGGGCCAGCAGGAAGAGAAGGGCCAGCATGTTTCGGGGTACTTTTGACAATTAAAAAACCACAATTGCATGCATTGCT